TATAATTTGTGCCTTTGAACAGGCCTTTTGGAAATGGCCGTGTTTTGAATGATAGACGAAACTGTTCTAATTTAAAGCTAATCGTCAATTTTTCTGATTTAGGTGCCTTATTTCCATCATCAGAGGGTCTTAGTCATCAAGACTGATGTATTGCACTAGTGCTAGCATTGAGCCTGTCCACACAGGAGTCTGTTTCCAGGAAAAGGACTTCATGAAAATGAAAATCGGGCTGTTAAAAATTGTTGGAACCTAGGAATGGGAATACTCACTTCCTCATGCCCAGTGCCCTGGAGTTGACATCAGGACATCTCAGCATAATCAACAAACTTTTATTCATTCATGCATCATGCATTTACTGGGTTTCTCCTATGAGTTAGGTTCTGGTATTAAAGGCTTTAGGAGCTACAAAAATGACTCAAACTCGGTTACTAGTCATCTAGTAATAGGGTTTTTCAGGTGCAGTCATGATAATCATACAAGAAGGAAAATATTGAGAGACACAAGAGTGGTGAGTTACTGAGGGAGGGGGTGTCACAGAAAAATGGTGAGTAATCTGTCTGACCAGCAAGTGAAGGTGAGGCAAAGCCAGGAGTTGATTGACATGGACATGTCAAGCAAAGAATCATGGGTGAGAAAATGCAACAATGGAATTCACTGTGGGGTAGGAATGTTCAGAGCTCCCATGTTATGACCAGACCATGGTCGGACCTCCCATGTTAGGTGGTTCAGATCTCCCATGTTAGATGGCCCGACCATGTTAGATGGCTCATGTTAGATGGCCAGACCATCTAACCTGGGAGATCTGATCACTGTTACCCCCCAGCTTCTCGTATGCACTGACTTCATTCTCTCCTCAGGGCTGTTAGATCTATTGTTCTCTGTCATCTACCCTCTCCTCATCCTCCTGCTTTCTTCCCCAGACTGGATCCTACTCATCCTTTAGATCTGAATGTAACTGTCATTTTCTCAAAGAAATCTGCTCTGACCTTCCAATTGATGTGAGATTCCCCTCCTGTAGTCTTTCATCTCATCCAATTATTTTCCTTCATAGCTCTTATCATGGTTTATGCTGGAATATATGTTTCTATGACTATTTGTTTAATATCCGTCTCCTCTATCAGGCTGCATAAGCTCCATGAAGTCAGGGACTATACCTATCTTTTCCGTTATTACATCCCCACTGGTTGTCGGACAGTAAGCTCTCAGTAAGTATTGGCTGAATGATAAGTGAATATATGATTAACAGCAAAGAAAAAAAAAACTATGTATAGGAGGAACCCCATCCCCATTAACACAAGCATAGATAGGAAGCATATCATTAATGAGAGAAGGATTGTGATCTTGAGAAAGACACATGACTAGATGTCAGAGTTGGCACCTGGCTTTTATGCTTATTTCTTTTACTACCTAGTTGTGAGACGAGATCCAAAATCCAATTTGTCCAAGCAACTGTCTTTCCTTCTCTGATTTCATAGTCTTAGTCTCAAATTGCCCATTTATAAAACTGGGGTAACAAAGCTGTCCTATTTAAGTCTAATATTGGGGATAACACATTGAAACTTAATATACTATTAATCAGGTATTACAAAAATATAAAAATATTAATACATAATATTAGTATAGAGATATTTGCATCTAAATTCTATATCTAATGTTCGTTGGCCATTGTCAAATGAATGAGTTTGGGTTTATGTTTGTATTTGCTGCAAAATACTATTTTATATCACCATGGGTCTAAAGAAAAAAAAGAAGAGCAAATGTAAAGCTATATTCTTTGATTACCAGGGTGAACATAAAATATTATTGGCTGAATTTGGGTCAAACAGTCAAACATACTAGTCAAAATGCATGCTCTTTTCATTTACTCAAAGGCACTAATGGCTTTGGTAAAAGCAGAACATATTATTTAAGAGCACTAGATAATTAGCCTTGACAAGAAGTAGGCCAAGAATTCCTGTGAATGAATTAGCTAATTCCTTCTATAGACGTTGAGCATTTGGTCTTTCACTTGACATCCTAATGAGAGTTCAGTAACAGCTGGAGACACTATAGTGACTGAAGTCAGTGGAGTTGTTTGGGAAGGGCTTAGATTAGAAATACCAGCCACTTAGGATAACATTGTCATATCAGTAATGGTCTTAGGGAAGACACAATGATGTCAAGCCAAAAAAAAAAAAGTGGGTTAAAAAGAAAAACCACATTCATATTTATTGAACTTTAGGCAAAGTGTGTGGTTTGTTATGGGATATTAAGCCATATGGAAGGTATCATAAGAAAAGCATACTGGGGTACTGTTTGGTATCTTGTTTTTGACATATTTAATTATGTCAAGCATTTTTGATACAAAAATATTTGTTGAGCACCTACTGTGTGTTTTAGCACTTAGGTGAGAAAACAAAAACACATAATACATTATCACTATATTGGAAGAGTTAACAATCATGAAGATAAGACACATTCAAAGGAAAGATAACCATTCCTTTCCATTGCACTGGGGGTGCCATAAGGCCATACATGCTAAGTATCACTTGAAGACACTGGACTATAAGTTTTGTCAGGCCTAGGCTAGGGAGACATCTTTGTGGATAAGTGTGGTCATAGTGGAAACTAAGATAGAATTTGAATGACAGGCAAGAATTTTAGAGATGAGAAAATAAATGGGCATGAACAATGAACTATGTATTAGTCCTTTTCATGTTGCTGTAACGAAATACCTGAGGCTGGGTAATTTGTAGAGAAAAAAGGTTTAATTGGCTCACAGTTCTGTAGGCTGTTCAAAAAGTACGGTGTCAGTGTCTGTTCAGCTCCTGGTGAGGCCCAGGAGGCTTTCAATCATGGCAGAAGGCAGAGGAAGAGCCTGGGTGTCACATGGTGAGAGAGGGATCAAGACAGCAGAGGGGGAGGTCCCAAACTCTTAAACAACTAGATCTCCTGTGAGGTAACTGAGCAAGAACTCACTCATAACCAAAAGGATGGCATTAAGACATCCGTGAGGGATCCACTCCCATGATCTAATACCTCCCACTAGGCCCCACCTCCAGCGTTAGGGATCACGTTTCAACATGGGAGCTGGAGAGGAAAAACATCCTAATTATATCAAACTGGAAGTTGGAAGTGCCACTCCCTTTCTCTGACAGTTCCTTCTGACCTGGCTGTAGGTGCATGAACATACCACCGTGCCCCTACAGCCAGATCAGAAGCAACTGTCAGAGAAAGGGAGGAAAGAAAATCAGGAACATATTAATTCTTCACATTTGTTTTACAAAGCAATTGTAGAGAACTTTGCAATGTAAAAATGAGCTCCTGCCCAACTCTTATCACATATGAGCCACAAAACCAAAACTAAATCTGGAAACCTCAGTGAGGCAGGCAGCATGGATGTTTTTCCCAGAGAGTGTGTATCCTGGGCCTTGCGATTACTGCCCCAAAGCACTTTCCTCTCCATAGAGCTCACCTGATAGGGTGAGACACCTCTCAAACGGTGAGGCTTTTCCATGCCAGGTTAGGATTTGGTTTTTCTTCTGTGAGGAAAAGAAATTGACAATGTACTGAACTTAAGAAAATGTAAAGAATAATAACAAAGAAAAAAAAAAGTAAAGAAAGAGTCTGCCATAAGCCATCAACAGATCATCTTGACAATGACCTTGGAGAAGTCTGTAGACTGTGCTTTTTAAAGAATGGTTTTGAGTACTTGAGAACTTGGAAATACCTTTGCAAACACAGGTTCACCAAAAAGCCAGTTTAAGTAACTCATTTCCTTCTCTAACATGCATACAATAGAAAACTGTAGCTTGTCAGACACTTGCTTCAGATACCACTATGGAGAAAATAGACAATTACGGAATGAGTGATGGATTAGTTTGCATTCAGTTTTAAAGTTGAAGGCAATACTGGAATTCAAGTAGCTCTGCTCCATAATTTTACAAATGAGAAAAGGGAGAGGAGCCATGAAGTGATTTGCTTAAGGTTACATCCTCTACCTCCTCGACCTCCTCCTCCTCCCCATCATCAGCATCAAATTAGATTACATGTATTGAGCATTTAGTATTTAACTGGTATATTTCAAGTGCTTAACATGTGTTGACTCATTTAATCCTCACGGTAACCCTATAAGGTAACTGAGGCTCAGGGAGATTTAGTCATTTGCCGGTATCATGAGGCTGTAAGCAATAAAATGGGGATTTGTACCCAGCAAGGTTGGCTTGTAAGTTGGTGCTTTTACTATACATACAGCCTTTCAAGGCCATATAACTAGTAAGTAGCAGGGTAAGCTGTCTAAGGTAATAATGAATCGACTTTCTGGTAATATAAGATGTTGTCATTGCTGTGTGCATGTCAACATTTTTATCGGTGAGTTGAATAAGATATAAAAAAGCAGTTCATCAGATTTTCAGAAGTCATGAAATAGGGGTATGAATAAGAAATACTTTGGACAACAGAAGTAGGATCCCAAAAGATTTGGGATGAAGAATGAAGCCAAAAAATTTTAACTTCAGAGCAATATAGGAAGCATTTCATACAGGTCCCCAAACCAATTGCCTGAGGATGGCATGAAGAATGTGCATGAGAGAACACCAGTTGGGGGAGGTAGGAGTGGGGAGATTTTTATCAAGTTAGTTCTACATGAATTAACACGAAGAGTTGCTCAGCTAATGGCCAGTGAGCAAATGATTCTCCTGTACCCGACATTACTTATATCCACTGGACCTTCATCCCAGCATCAGTCAAGGCAGCTCTGGGCTCTCCAAAGCTCTTTACAGGAATGGCCGGGATCTTTCTTCCTCCTTTCTAACATGTTTTTGCTCTGATTCCTCATTTTGGCCTCCTCCTTTGTCATCGTGACTTTGTTCCTGCCTCTGGCCTTTTATTCTACATTTTTGTTTTGGCTTCTCCTCGCACTTGAATGCTGAATTTTTTCTGTGGGGCCCTGATTTGACTTACCTCTCTGGCTCTCTGTGTCTTGTGCTGCATCAGGAGAAAATCTCTCATCTTTTTTCCAGCCCGTCAGAGCGCAGCCCAGGAAATGGACCTTCAATGGGTATGCTGACAGCACACCATCACCCTGCCGAGGCATATACCATGAGGAAAAGGTTTGGACCATATCCAGAGTACTGCATCCAAGTCTGGCCAACCCCCTTCCTCACTGTGAGGTTATCTATGTAAGTTGAAGTACATTATTAGAAAAAGGACAGGTTGTGAATAGACATGAACACTAGGTGATATACAAAATTACTGAAAGAGCCACAAACGCCTAAAGAAAGGGAGATTATGGGTGCAGCAGATCAATATTGGAATTTGCAGAGCATTCCACTGTGAATGACTTTTTGTCTTTCAGGCTTCTCTTGTGTGGCTCCTGGAAACTACCTAGCACCTGTGGCCAGAAGCTGTGGGGAAAAGGAGCAGATTTCATCTCTGTAAGAAACTTCCTTGTGGTGAAAACTGCCTGGAGATGGAATGAGACAATGGTGAACTCCCCATTATTGGAGGTGTTCAAGTATAGGCTGAGCGGTGACTATTATGAAAGCTGTATGACAGTCCCAAACATCAACGGGGTGCTTAGATTCTTTCATCTCGGGTCAGTTCCACACAAGACAGGCTCTGTGTCAGTGAGGACCCAGTGGTGGTTTTGAACAGGTGGCAGGAAAACAATGGTATATAAAATAAATGCAGAGAAAGATCTCCACATCAAGCCAACCCCTCCTCCTTACCTGTAAGTTTTCCATGTGCGTGAGCTCTGGGCTCCCAATTGCACTTGTCAAACTCCCATTGTTAGAGCAGAGATAAATGCTTCCGGCCACCCAAGCAGGAGGGGCCCACCTCAACTTGAGGGCTGCTCTATTTTAGTTTTCCATAGCTGGAGATTGAGTATCACGCTTTTCTAATCTTGTGCTTCTGAAAGGGCCCTGTTCTCTCTTGAACCCTACCCACTCCTTTCACAGATCAAATACCAAGTACATCAGACAGATAGAAGCTCGAATGGGAAAATGCATTTTAATAAAACCCCATTGATTTTTGTGGATGCAAGTCAAAGAACGGGCACCTAAAGAGTCTTCCATCCCCTGCCACCTCCCCCCTCTCTCCTGGCCTACACCGGGCGGTCACACATCAATTGGCTTCCTAGATAATAGATCGTGCCACCCGGTAGGGACCTCTGGGGACGCGCCGGGAGCTGGAAGAGTCGCACGCAGCAGCCCAGCCCTGAGTTAATCAAACTAGCAACAGGATCTCGAGCAGCAGCAGCAGCAGCGACCGCGGTGGCAAGAGTAGCGGCGGCGGCGGCGGCGGCGGCGGCGGCAGCGTTATGCGTGATTACTGACAGGCACCAGCTGCTGCCGCCACAGCCGTCTCAAACGCACTATGTGGACTCTCCGATCTAGAGGCAGATTCCTGACTAATCCCAGAGGGCTGGCCCAGCCTGTGCTCCCCGGGCTGCTAGGAAGCGATGACCACTCTTGTTAGCCCAAGTTGAAGAAAGCCGGGCTGTGCCTGGGCGCCGGGAGAGGCTATAATATTTAGAAGCCGCACAGGAGAGGAACATGAACTGAAGAGTAAACATGTATGGAAATTATTCTCACTTCATGAAGTTTCCCGCAGGCTATGGAGGTAAGTATCTCTCTTGGGCTTCACTGCCTGGACCTGTATGAGGGACTGAAAAGAAATTGGGAAACACGAATGACTGAATTCGTACTGAATTAAAAGGAGAACATGTATGTTTATATGTGTATATAGTGTATATAACGTTTCTGTGTGTGTATGTGCACACGTGCATGAGAGACAGGAGAGGAAGGGAGAATGGTCCGTAGGTGAGGATACGTTTGCATATCAGATTGAGGATGTGGGGGTATTCTAAGGAGAGTGTAAACCAGCATGCTTGAGAATGTGTCTGAGACAAAGATAAAATAAGAGCATTGTTATAAGCCAGTGTGTTTGTGTGGTTGTGAAAAGTGGAAGAGTTAAGGGGGAATTACTATGATGTTCCTATTAGCCAACTTGCAATGAGAAAAAAATGTGATTAAAAAGGTTTTGCCTGTCTTGAGGGTTCCTGGGATACTTTGTAACAAGGGGATGATTGTTTTACTGGAAAGCAGATTTCTCTTTAATTGGATTTTTAAAAACAAAACATAGTGCTTTAATTTGCTACTGTGTTTTCCTTTCCCTGTTTTCTTTCCTTTTGATTTGCTAACAGCCTCTTCTCTTCTCCCCTGCTGCTGCCCCCAATTCTATTGCAAGGGTTGCTGCAATCACTTCCACTCTGAAGGTAGAGATCTGGGGGTAGGGGGTTGGGGCTCTTAGATAATTGGCAAACTGAAGATTCCAGTCACTGTGCCAGGCAGGGCAGCCCAGTCACACTTCACAGAAGCTTCCGGAGACTAGGTCCTCAGGCTGCCTTAACGCCCAAGCACATCCGTCCCAAGGATCCCTTGGTTCAGTGACAGAAACAGTACAGCCACCCAGCTCTGAGTAAATAGAACCAACAGCTGACCCACTGGCCTCTCGCCTGTCAGTTGGAGGCATGTAGCTTATGTTGTTGGGAGCCAAAGGTGGATTCTGGCAAACAAGACAAAGCAGAAATTCTTACAAGGTCTTGAGAATTGAAAAATCCCTGCTCTCCTGACTTCCTCCATGGACCAATTCATCTGAAGCCTTGGGAGTAAAGCTTGCCTACCTTGGCTGGGCAGGACCCTCTGGAAGGCATGGTGAAACACTGCAAGGTAGAAGTGATCTCTGACACCAGGAGGTGTTAGATCAGGGAGTTTGCACATTCATTCAGGGTAATTTTAATGAGGCAGGCATGGTGTTGGGCACTGGGAATACAAATATGAATGAGACACAGTCTCTGCCCTTTGGGACTCGGGCAGGCTTGTTAAACAGACACATCATAATACTACATGGTGTGTGTAATAGCAAACACATGAGGAGGTTGCACTTGGACTCGGGGTGAGGGCCATGGAAATGTTCCCGAGGTAATGTTCAAGTTCTTCAGGCCAGTCTGATGACAGAGTGAGAGTGGTGGCCAATGCTGTGACCTGGGCATTTGATCTCTAGTCTATAGCTGGGCTCCAGATGTGAAAAGCCTCCTCAATGCCCACCTCAGTCCCATTCACAGCTGAGAATGGCTTTTTCCTTTATATTTCAGTTCATTTGTGAGAGATGCATGCTCATTCTCCACCAGATTTGTGGGCCAAGGTCTGTGAGGCTATGGCTTCATTAATACCAAAGAGACCCTCAGAGACAGTTGGGGTGAATAAAAGGGTTGAAGATGGAAAGATTTAGGGAGAGAACTAAAGTAAGAGCCAGAGAAAGAAGGTCTAGCTAAAATTCTATGGAGGCTGGAATCTTGGAATGTTAGCATCCTAAGGACCTGAAACAGCATCTTAGACTCTCATTTTATAGATGTGTAAACTGTGGCTCAAAGGAAGGCAGGGACTAGTCCAAGTTTATTTGGGGCTGAGTTTCAGAACACTTCCAGAAAAGCCCCTTACTCAAATTTATAATATTATTGCTTTAATATAGTGAAAAGAGCATGAGGAGGAGGGGGCAGAGAGAGATAGTGTGCTGAGTTTGGTTCCCAGTTTTTCACTTATTAGCTTTGTGATCTGAGGCAAGCTAGTAAACCTCTCTGAGACTTAGTGTCTTTCTCTCTAAAATGGGATTTATAATCTCATCCATAGCGTATTGTGAAAATTAAATGAGCTAGCATGTGAAAAGCAGCTGCTATAGTGTTGTCCACAGATTTGCTACCTAATACAATATTTTCTTCCCCTCTATTTTGCTCAGGGACTAACATGCAAAATAATTAAAAATCAGACATTTTTGTAAAATAATAAATAAGGAATCTGGGAAAATAAAATTAAATCCACAAAGACCCTCGTATGTTGCTGGCTTAGCTTTTCGTAATTGTGGGAGCTCTGGTACTTAGTGTAATTAGATTTCAGATAGAGGACAACACAATGGTTCAGCTATGGAAGGAAATAGTTCAGGACAGCACAGGGAACTTGAGGGGAAAGGGCCATGTCTCCTCTAACGCTACTTTTCCTTGTCATTCCTGAGGGAGGAGAACAATTATTTTGTTTAGTTTTGTTGATGGTTTCCATTTTGTTTGCATGCGCCAGTTAAGAGGAGGCCTGAATACTGAGCCAAAGGACTCCTGCCCCATCTGCAGGGAGGTCTGCCTCAGAACTTCCTGTGATTAGGGAGAGGAATGGCGGAGGACTCACAGCAGTCATGGGGAAACTGCAGGATTAGAGTGGACCTCACCTTCAGCCTCTAACCTCCCTTGCCTCAGTGCAGCAGGTTGCACTGCACGTATTAAAATATTTGGTGTCTAACCCCCTACCCTTTTACATATTAGCATATGAAATTACAGAGGGCCCCCATGATTTGTGTAAGAATCTCCAGGGAAGCAAAGCCATCTTTGGAAACTAACACCTGAGATTTGTGTCTGGGACTGTGCTTACCAGATGTCAGAGCATCATCTGATCAGTGAAAAAGAGACTGCTCAAATTGGCCAAAGTGTCATGGCTACCTGGGTGACAGTGACTCTACAAAGGTGCCCAATCCCCCAGCTTTGAACCCTACCATGTGATGATGAGAGAACCCTTTTCTTCTTCTCTGCCAAGTTCAGGGTTTGCCAGCTGCTCAGTAATAGGTTTGTTTTTCTGGGATGAAACAGTTGCTGCCTCTTAGAAGATGGCAAAACAAAGCCTGTAATCCCCCCATCCAATTGTGCAGTAATCCTCAGGGTGAGAAGGAGATCAGGGAGAGAGAGGACTTTTCTCATTTCATTTAACAAACACACTGTAACACTAATACTAGCTACCGTTGTAAGCACTTTACCACCCCAACTCGTAATCCTCATAACAACCTTAAGAGTGGGCACTCCTTTTAAAGATGAAGAAACAGAGGCATTGAGAGGTGAAATAACTTGCTTAAGGTCTCATAGCTAGAAAATGGCACAGCCAGGGATTGGAACCCAGGCAGACTGGCTCCCAGAGTTCACACCTCAGAGCTGCCTCTCACAGCTTCTGTGGGTAGCACATTTGCTCTGCAAAGCCAGGGGCAGCAGCATACCCCCGGGGAGCTCCTGGTGCCCCAGTCCAACCTCAAAAATGTAGCCTCAGCACTGACTGGTTGTTGCAGACTCAATGGGCTGGCTATTGAGGAATAAGCCACAGGATAGTTTAAGAGATACTGAGAAGCAACAGTAATCTCTGCAGAATTAATTGGTGGCTTCTCTTGGGAATATACTGATTTGCAAGAGTCCTGTCCAGTTGACCCTGACCATTCATGCAGAATATTTGCTTTTTCACCTGAAAATAGCCATAGAGAAGGGGTTGAGTTGGAGGTGCTTGTATGTGTGTGTATATGCTAGAACATATTTTTCCCCTCCACAGATATGTGGGTGGCTAATTGAAACCTACCATGGGCATAAGTGGTTATGGTTTATGTGGGAAGGAGTAACTGTTTATGAGATTTAGGAAGGAACATATTTAGTATAAACTATTTTCTAAAACATTTACAATCTCACCAAGAGAGAGGGCTGAATAGCATCTGGGGGAAGAAATTGTGCAAAGAGTCATCTCAATGTCCCACCTCTTCCTTCCCCTCTTTATGAAGCTTCTAGATCTGCAGAGAGCTTAGCCACCAGCATTGGGTGGCGAGTGTCCCAGAGGAAGCTGGTGTTTTCTCCTCTTTTTAAAAGTAGGAGACACAGAGGCCCAGGGAATGGAAGTGTATTTTCTAGAATGCATGGACTTTGGTGGCTCTCATGAGATTGACTCAGCCCTAGCTCAGTGATAAGAAAAAAGTGAAAATACAGGTTGAGTATCCCTAATCCAAGCATCTATAGTCTGAAATGCTCCAAAATCCAGAACTTTTTGAGTGCCAAGATGATGCTCAAAGGAAATGCTCATCAGAGCATTTTGGATTTTAGATTTCTGGATTATAGAGGCTCAATTGCTAAGTATAATGCAAATATTTCAAAATAAAAAAAATCCAAAATCCAAAACACTTCTGGTGTTTGTTAAGCATTTTGAGTAAGGGATACTTAACCTATATCAACTCATTTCATAACTACAACACCACTTAAAGGTTGGTAGTTTTATTATCCCCAATATACAGATGCAAAAACTGGGGGACAGAGAAATTAATAACTTGCCAAAGGGAACTTGGCTAATAAGTGATACAAGTGGTATTCTAACATGAGGGAAAGCAGCAGGTTCGGATGTTAATCTCAGCCCTACCATGTCCTATACTGTATGACTCTGTGAATTCTTTTTTTTTTTTTTTTTTTTTTTTGAGATGGAGTTTTCGCTCTTGTTACCCAGGCTGGAGTGCAATGGCGCGATCTCCGCTCACCGCAACCTCCGCCTCCTGGGTTCAGGCAATTCTCCTGCCTCAGCCTCCTGAGTAGCTGGGATTACAGGCACACACCACCATGCCCAGCTAATTTTTTGTATTTTTAGTAGAGACGGGGTTTCACCATGTTGACCAGGTTGGTCTCGATCTCTCGACCTCGTGATCCACCCGCCTCGGCCTCCCAAAGTGCTGGGATTACAGGCTTGAGCCACCGCGCCCGGAGACTCTGTGAATTCTTACAGCAG